AGTGGAACGCTCCGTGTACTCTGCGTCGAGACTGATGACCTTCATCTCCACCTTTTGGAGGGAGTTGGATACATTGTTGATCCACTTCCGAACAACCCTTGGGTGGTCGGTGACTATGGTAACTATGCTCAACGAGCCTTCGACGAGGACATGTTGGACACTAAAAGCCTGCATCTCGATCTCTTTCGCCATTTGGAACCGCTGGACCGGAGGGCTATGGTTTGGATAATTAGGATTAGATGGCTAGTCTAACTGAAGAAGATGATTATTTATAGGGGCTTCGGAATTACTCCAAGAGGATGTGAAGAGGTTAAAACAATGTGAATGCAGTGTGGTTTGGATGCAAATGAAGATGATGGAGTAGTGAAGAAGCCAAGGAAAATCGGTTCCCGATGGAGAAGTAAATGGGAGAAGTGGCCTGCAGGCAGTTAATTAGATGGCTAGCAGAACTTATATATTGTGTTGTCTGTCTGTTTACTTTGCACAGCCTTCAAGATATTTCCCCGTCATTGATAAAGACGATGAACCGTTATGTACGAGTTTTTTGGTTTCAACATAGGCCTGCCCGTAGCGATCCACTGCTTCCATCCTGATTGTGCCGCCTGCGTGAAATTTTTGTATGCAAGTTCAGTGTGCTATGCTGTTCTATATGATTGTGTCAACTATATAAGTTTTTACTAAGCATCATCAATGCATATGGCTGAAAGATGTATTTATCAGCATCGACCGATGGGTCTCTCTCTCACACGCACAAACACACACACACGCACAAATGGGACCCGTTGAATTATTTCTTCGCTCGTGACAGTTTTTAATTAGGTTTCACTATACTCTAACTTTTTTCTTAAGTTATTAATTGAGCTCAATGATTTCAAAAAGTTGTAGAGAAGCCTTGTTTGGGCCTTTCCGGCGTCGCTGAATGTGGGCTAAGTAGCCATGTAAGGTTGTACTGTACTACACAGGCCTTTTTTCAACATCAGCAATGCAACTGGGTCGACAGTTGTACACAATCCGGGTGAACTTGTTATTCTCCGCCCCGCTCGGCTGCAAATCTTTCCTAGAAGGGATGCATTAGGCTTAACAAGAAAATGGGATTTAAGAAATAATAAATGGGATGTAATTATAAAAACTGGGCAGTAACTATAAAAAAATGTACCAAACACGTAATTAGTTTATAAAATATTACTTTTGAATTTTGAAAATTTTAATTTTATTAATTGTTGCACGCGCAATGTTTCTTTGGATTTTTACATAATACAAATTTATATTGAAATTGTATTTAATCTGACTAGAAATTTCGAGATAAAAATATTTCGGATCCCATCAAAATCTGGAAAATTTTATTGAATTCTAATTTGAACGGTTGGTTGAAATTAATAATCATTGTCCTAGCTAGAAAATGGGTTGTACTTTTAACAAACTATAAATAGGTTGTAGTAAATTTCATTAGAATTCAAAAATGAACTATACATTCTTACAAATCGTAAATGGGCTATAAGTTCTCTGCCACACACTTGTAGGCCTACTAGGTTGACGCGTCCCTAAAAAAAGTAAGTTGACGCGTATGCAAGGCTTTGTCAACTTATAGTCAAAACACAGTTCTAGCAACAGTGTCCGTTGAATGTCCATCCAACGGATGTCGTGCTTCTTCTTCAATCTCGGATATTCTAGCTTCAGTTGCCCAAAAAATGATTCCTCCCCCAGACATCTGGGGCGCACCGTTTCGAAGGCTGACCTGTGGGTCTACTAAGTTGATGCGTACCAAGGGCTTTGTCAACTTAGTCAATATAAACGATTTTAACTACAGTGACCGTATGATGTCCATCCAATGACCATCGTGATTCTTCAACCTCTGGTGTTCTTGCTCCAGCCGCCTAAAGCAGCACCGGTCATGCCGCCTGCTCCTGCTTCTCGTGGACGGCTGTGCTGCCGCGGAGGCCTCACCGCCCTCTACCACTCCCACCACTGGCCAGGCCATGCGGCGACGGCATCCTCACACCGCAGTCAAACGAGTGAACCCTCGTACTCCTCTCCGCGTGGGCATCCACTATCGCGTCTTCCTCGGCTCCGCGTCGTCCCCTTCCTAGGCCTCACCGTCGTCCACCGCCTTGGTGCTCTCGGCGCGGTGTGGTCAATGTGGTCAACGAACGACTTCCATCGGAAGAGTACTGTACGTGAAGAGGCTAACAACTAGGTCCATGGCCGCAGCAAGGAAGTGCCTCCTTATTACACACAAAATAATTATTTCTCCACCTGACAGCAGGGACCCACCGGACGGGCCACTGTATTTCTTGAAAAAAACATTTCCCCCTGACTGCTGGGACCCACCAGCTACATCTTCGCACGCAAGGAAGTGCGTCCATATTACGGGCAAAAAAATTATGATTCGCCCCCTGACTGTTGGGACCCACCAGCTACATCTTCGCACGCAAGGAAGTGCCTGACAGTCGGGACCCACCTGGTCGAAGCGTATGTAGCATTGTCATTCTGGTCACGAATGTGTACGTACATACGATCGGTCTGTCTGCAGACTGCAGCGATGAACCGTGGCCGTGTAAGGAAGGGCATGTGTCGTAGTAGAGGCGCGCACATAGCATGTACACGTACGTACATCGGCCAGGGTGCAAGAAAGTAAATACGGCCACGTACGTACATATGGGGGGGGTCTGGAATGCCTTCTCGCGCATACGTACGGCCAGGGCTCCTGTACATGGCTGGGTCGGAACGGAGAAACTGCGTCGTCATAGTGTTCATGGGGAGGCAACAGAATGCGTCGTGTTCATCGGGAGGCAACGGAATGCGTGTTGTTCATCGGGAGCCAACTGGCTTGGATGGAACAGCCGATGGAAACGAGGCCTGGCGTACCGCAGAACGGAGGAAACGGCCTTGTGTTCGACCGGCCACGGTCGAAATGGGATCCTGTTCATCGGGAGGGGTCTGGCGTACCGCAAAATGGAGGAAACAGACCTCCTACGGTGGAAACGGGGTCCTATTGATCGGGAGGGGTGTAGCGTACCGCAAAACGGAGGAAACAAACTTGTGTTGGAGCGCTACGGTCGAAACGGGGGTCCTGTTCATCGGGAGGGGTGTGGCGTACCGCAAAACGGGACTCCACGGGATATTATTCATCTCCACCGTCGACCTCCTCCAGCCTCCATGGGCTACTATTCATCCACCGTCGACCTCCTCCAGCCTCCACCTGTGACTGTTCATCCGCGGGCTCCTGTTCATCCAGCCACCACCGCGTGCTCGTTCATCGGCTACTGTTCAACCAACCCTCTCCACGGGGTCCTGTTCAACCACCCCTCCACGGGCTACTGTCCATCCGGCCCTTCACCTGCTACTGTTCATCCGGCCCTCCACCGGCTACTGTTCAACCAGCCCTCCACGGGGTCCTGTTCATCCACCGGCTTGATCGATCGGGGTACTGTTCATCCAACGGCAACAACCTCTACTACCACTTGGTCCTATTCATCCAACCCCCAACCGGGAACTGTTCATCCAAACCCCCAACAATGCTCACTATTCATCCAGAGGCAGCATCGATTGGCTTCAGTTAGCAGCAGTAGCGAAGGAATCACTCAGGTTCAGATAACAGCAAGGGATCGATCGATCGCTCGTGTTCAGTAACGCGTAGCCTGCAGTGCAATCGCTCGGGTTCAGTTAGAGCCCAATGCCTCGCTCTGGTTCAGCTAGAGCCCAACATCTCGCACACACGCGCGTACGTACGAGATAAACGCGCATCGCTTGGCCCCCGACCACCCACCGTAACCAGGGACTCCCTGATATTTTCCTCGCCCTCACTTCTACCATAGTTTTTTCAGTCATGGACGGCCCAAAGAATGTCATGCAGCTGCGTCTCCGGCCCGCCCAGGACGAAAAGCCCATTTTCTGTCATGATTTATTGTCATAGAAGTAGGACCCCACCACATCTATGATGATACCGGGTTTTGTGACAGTTATCGTCATAGAAGTATCATAAGTATGACAACAAAAAATTCGTTCGGCCCAAAATGTCATGGATGTGTCTTTCTTTTGTAGTGATGGTTTTCAAACTTGAGTTGCACAAAGCCTTTGACTCTATTTGTTGGGGGTCCCTCCTCATTCTCCTCTCTAGAGGTTTTTCGCCTACTACTGCAAGCTGGATCCGAACTCTGCCTATCTCAAGCAAGACGGCGCTGCTGCTAAATGGGTCGTCGGGTCATTGGATCAACTATAAGAATGGTCTACGGCAGGGTGACCCTCTTTCACCCTATCTCTTTATTATCATCACAAACCTGCTTCAACGCTTAATCATCCAGTCTTTCTCGCCTGACCAACTCTGCCACCCGATCTACAATGACAGACCCCCGAATGTGCACCAATATGTTGACGACACCCTAATCATTGCATATGCTTCTAGCCATGCCGCGACCAAACTCAAAGGCATCCTTGGCAAGCTTGCCCTTGCTACCGGCCTCTCTATCAACTTTCAGAAAACTATCTTCGCTCCCATCAACACGGACCCCCACAACCAGCCTTAGCATCACCCAAACCTTTGGTTGTGACCTCTCCTCCTTCCCATAGATTTATCTAGGTATCCCTCTCTCTCACACGCGCCTTCCGTCCCCTGCTTTTGAACTCGTCATTTAGTGCTTCCTAAAATACCTCACTGGTTGGTCGGCAAAACTTCTCTCTCGAGGAGCCAGACTTACACTAATCTCCTCCACTCTAGATGCCCTCGCCACTCACTTTATGTCCGTCTTTAGAATACCCGAGAAGGTTAGACGCTATTTGTAGATCCTTCTTCTAGGCGGCTGACGAAAATTGCTCCGGGGCAAAATGCCGCCTTATCGCCTAAAAAAATGTGTGCACACCCAAGACGGCTGGCGGCCTTGGTATCAAAATTTTGACTCTCCAAAACAGTTTCCTCCTCATGAAATTCTCTTTCAAACTTCTCCAAAAACCTGACCTGCCTTGGGTCAACTAGTTTTTCTAACACTACCCTCTTGACTTCACGCTTAAGCCCCAAAACCCCCACTACATCTGGAAAATAGTTAACCATTAGCTATGCCAACTTCATAAAATTTCCTTCGTCCTTACTAAGAATGGCATTTCCACCTTCTTCTGGCTCAATGATTGGCCTGTGTCGACTCCGCTCGTAGAAAACTACTCCCCACCTCTTCTCTTACTCCACTTCCCCCTCTGTCCTGGTATCTCATGTCATGCATAATGGTTTACTCGCTAACCTATGGAACCTCCTAACCAACGTGGCTTCTGATGAGCTTGCATCTGTTTTGTCTTTGTTGCAGGATGTTACCACAAGCGGTGCGCCCGACGACAGGTTCCTCACCTACTGTTCCTCGTTCCCCTCGAGGTGCGCCTACACATTTCTCTCCTCCGACCATGAGCTTGATCTCGCTGCGGGGTACATCTAGGCTCAAAGGCACCTATCAAGGTTAAGATCTTCGGCTGGCTTCTCCATCGTGACAGGTTAAGCACGATGGCGAACTTACATCACACGACCATCACCTTGGTGTCGTCTTGCCTTCGCTGCAACTTATCTTTTGAGGACGCGACGCACCTCGCCCTCCTCGGCCCATGCATGGCTTAGGTCTGGTCCCTCTTGGGTCTTCAGGCCCCTCACTCCATCGACCACATCTGGGATACTCCTACTTCGGTTGGCCTCGACATCAACACGTGGCCTACGTTGCCCTCGCCATCCTGTGGAAGCTCTGGGACTCCAGAATGCTCATGTTTTCCGTAACGAGATACACTCCCCTCTAGATTCTATTCGGAACATTATCTCCGATTTTATGCTTTGGGCCTTTAGATTTAAGGACCACGTTAGTAGGGAGGTTCCCGTGTCTTGGCGCATGTACCTGTCCTCTCGCTGTAATCTCTAAGTAACCTGCAACTTGCCCTTGG